TGGTACAATCCCAAAACAACTGGAGCACCACTTGAACACCATTGGCATTGACAAATTCGCTATTAGTCAATTGCAAAAGGCGGCCTTATTAGGAACTGCTTCCATCCTGCGACGATACCTGTAATACCATCAAACATCCACATCTGCCTATCCCAGGTCCTGGGTAAGGACTCGATAGGTAGACAAAATGCCAAATCCAGTCTGAACATCTGGCTGACTCTGCGATAATCCATAATAATAATATTATTATTGGAGGTCATCTACTCCAACCCCCTGCTCAGTCAGGAAACCCTATACCATTTCAGACAAATGTCTGTCCAGTCTCTTCTTAAAAACTTCCAGTGTTGGAGCATTCACCACTTCTGGAGGCAGGATGTTCACTGGTTAATTGTTCTAACTGTCAGGAAGTTTCTCCTTAGTTCTAGGTTGCTTCTTTGATTAGTTTCCATCCATTGCTTCTTGTCCTGCCTTCAGGCACTTTGGAGAATAGCTTGACTCCCTCTTCTTTGGGGCAGCCCCTGAGATATTGGAACAGTGCTATCATGTCCCCCCCTCATCCTTCTCTTCGTTAAACTAGACATTCTCTCCAATTTATTTCAAAACATTTGAAGAAGCTTCTAGTTGAGGAAAACTGATACACGCATTATAATACCTGAAGTTCTATGAAGTTATGTGACAGCTACTTGCTACCAAATCACTAATCATACTTAAAGACAGAGCCACATGATGACTTTCAAAATGTGTTCAGACACTAAGATAAGTCAACAGCTGAACTGGAAAACATTCACTATACAGGTAGACCTTGACTTATGACCATAATTAAGCCCAACATTTCTGTTGCTAATTGAGGCAGTTGTTAAGTGAGTTTTGCCCCATCTTACGACCTTTCTTGCCACAGTTGTTAAGTGAATCACTGCAGTTGTTAAGTTAGGAACACGGTTGTTAAGTGAATCTGGCTTCCCCATTGACTTTGTTTGTCAGAAGGTCGCAAAAGAGGATCACATGACCCCAGGACACTGCAACCGTCATAAACACAAGTCAGTTGCCAAGTATCCAAATTTTGATCACATGATCATGGGGTTACTGAAATGGTTGATAAGTCTGAAAAAACGGTCACAAGTCAATTTTTTCAGTGCTGTTGTTACTTCAAATGGTCACTAAATGAATGGGCATAAGTTGAGGACTACTTGTAAATAAAAAAAAACTGTCCACAACAATCCCAAGTTGAATCTTCACCCTTGCACACACTATATGTGAATACTATCCGTTCTGCTGCCCATTAGTGCTTGTCTGAATTTGTGCAGTTCAGATCTGCTATGGCTAAGCATGCAGTTACTGTAGGCCAGTCAATTGGGAGTAACCAGAGAGCAAAATCAAATGCCGGAACATTTTAAATTGTAGAATGCTTGGAAGGAGGTGGAAATGCGATTTGGATCACATAAGCGAGGAAGGAAACTTGTTCAACATATTTTTGGCTCATGGCCAGCATATATCCCTTTTGGTTAAACAGAGCTTAAAGCACACAACTAAATATTCCATACTGTTAAATACTCCATGTTGCATTCTTCCAGTCAACCCCTCCCCAATCTGGTCTGCTTGAACGCAGCTGCAGTTTCAACCAATATAGGAAGCACCAGTTTGGAGGAGGAAGAGAGTGTTCTTTTCAACTGGGAATGTCAGCAACTCAACCCTGAATTCCTTCTTGAAAAACATGTTTAGGTAGTCCCTGGTTCCATGATCATTCAAGTTAGGATGGTGCTGAATGACTGGTAGTTATTATAATAGTATGTGGGAATGATCTTGGGAATGGGGCAAACGGATGCTACCTAGGGAACTGTCATATAAGAGGATAAAAGGTAGCATAGTCCACAGCTGCACAATGGGTGGAATAAGTGGACAGCAGGAACAGTGCATCAGTCTGTAAAAGTGACAGCGGGAGAATTGTACTTTCAGACTTGTAAGATTCTGTTAATGTAGCTTTACAATGAAGTAGAATTAGCTTCTCTGGTCACGTTTTCTGTCTGGTCTACTATGTAAGGCTGCCAGTTATGACCAGTCTTCATAATTACGGCTGTTACAACATCCCTGCAGTCATGTCAATGGGGAAACAGCAGGAAGTCACAAATTGCAATCACATGAACGCCTTGCTTAATGACCCGCACAGTCCTCACTTAATGATGCAACTGGGACTGTTGGAACTGTCATTGGAAAGCAGCATGATCAAATGGTTTTTCAACGTTCAACCCTTTCATTTAACAATGGAGTTTCTAATACTATTGTTAAGTAAACACTGTCTCTAGATCAGGGGTCTCCAACCCCCGAGCTGTGGTCTATTTAGAACTAGGGTGCATGAGGGTCTGGCCGGAGTGGACAAGCACAACTCAACTTGTATGAGCGGCGGGCCGGCAGGCATTTGCACGCATGCATGTCCGGCCCACCACTTGTGTAAGTCAACCTGCGCACGTGTGTGCAGGCCTGACACTCGTGCAAGGGCTACGTGCGCATTCACAGACATGCTGGCTCGCCACTTGCACATCCCAGTTCTCCTCTCCCCCCACCCCACGCAGATGGGCCAAACCGCAAAGGTTGGGGACCACTGCTCTAGCTATAATATTGTTGCTGTCCTCTTTACCACCGCAACTTAATTCATCTTTTTTGGGAGAAATGGGCAAACAATAATCAAAGACTAGGCTGCATTTATCTGCTTTTTTATTTTCTAAAAGATTTACTTACATGAGGTTCAAAGATTTTCTGGAAATAAGGATGAGTCTCTGTTCTGAAGTACAGTAACTTTTTTTTTTAAAAAAAAACAATCTTTAAAAAACACAGTGCTTTGACTTTTTTATGCCTGATTCTGCTCCAAGAAAACCAAGTGGCATCAATGCTGGGGCAGAAGAGACAAATGAGCTATGAAAAATGATTTCCTGAGATCAAATAAATTAGTTTTCTAGCCCAAAAGAAATACACAAGGAATTGTGAAATAATGAACTTCAGAATGATAGCATCTGAAATCTTTTGCAGGTTATTTGTTTCCTGTTGACTGGATTGTTCTGCTTAAAAAAAATTCAAAACTCTTTTGGGAGAGTCTGACATAAGACTTATGGGTTTATCAGGTAAAAAAAATCTCCATGGAAAGTCTCCCCATAGTTATGGACATCACAGCCACCCCACAGTCACGTCAATGGGGAAGCCTGCAGGAAATCACAAATTGTAAATCCCAAAAGGTCCTTGTTTAATGACCCAAATAGTGCTTGCTTAAATAATGGCAATCAGAACTGTTGGAACTACCATTGCTAAGGCAGGTGTAGATGACCAGGCTGAGCCCAAGGGAGGAGTCAAATGGGTCATCAGTATCGAGTTCCTTTGTGTCCATAAGAGATCTAAGTCTGGCCCATCTTGAATATATATATATTTGCTCCAGCCAGTGGAAGCCATGACGATTGAGGAGATGGGAGAACGGACCGGACCGACTATGAGATCGAGGACGAGACAGCAAACTGGTGCAATTGACGCGGTGGGTATGGCTGAGAGGCCACCGGCTGAAGCAAACACACAAAGTGTTGACAGCGTGGCAGACTGTGGTGGGGGGGGAGGGACCATTTGACAATACCAGATGGTCTGACGCTATATGACAGGCATGTTCACCTAGCAGGGCAAGTGGCGGGAGGCAGAGTGGCGAGAGCTAGGCGGATGCTGGCCAATACAACCGAACCGAGATCAATACGTCCAATCACATGTGGGCGGCGGACTGACGGACCTATGACGCACTCAATGGCTAAATTACCAACACTTAAAGGGCTATAAAATAAAGTCTTTCCAATGTTAGCTTACACTTTGACAATGTCAGCAGTGGCTGACGAAAGCTTAGTGCTTAATAAAACTTTCTGTCCTGGAGATCACCTGATTTCCTTAGCTTGATTGTAGGGTTTATGCTTGTTGTCCTGACAGACTAAAACATGATGAAATTCATTTGAACAAATAAAAACAATTATGCTGGTGTGGGTCAGCAAAATTGTACAACACATTTGTAGCACATCCACCAAAAAAGATATCATGGGCAAGATCTATTGAAGTAGGGGACATCTGGCCAACACATGGTCTAGTCTAGAGGTAGGCAACCTTGGCTCTTTTATGACTCGTGGACTTCAACGCCCAGAATTCCTGAGCCAGCATGGCTGACTCAGGAATTCTGGGAGTTGAAGTCCACGAGTCATAAAAGAGTCAAGGTTGCCTACCCCTGGTCTAGTCCCTCAAGAGAACATCCTCAGTACACTGAGTCTCTTGTCAATAGAAGCCACCTTCAAAAGTGTTTGTGCTACAATCACTTCAGTTCCTACAAAGCTACTGGGAAATGCCATCAAGGTGTGCCAGGTAATAAATAGCCAGTCCCAAGGTTGTATTTTGAAAACAAACGCCCATTTGCAGCTGTGTGTCCAAACTGCTGGATTCAGATCAAGAAAACTTGTGTCGGATCTGCCACCACTTAGACCTCTAAGTAGAAACGATCCGAGGCTCCATTTGCTGAGGAAGGAATAGGTTTATTGAAAGTCAGGTGTGTTGCAGAACTGGGAATCGGGTGCCAAAAACCTTAAGTTAAACTTTTCTTTCCCTTAGCTACCTTCCACCACAGGCAGGATGTTTTCATAATGGTCAATCCAGGCACAGGATGGTATGCAGCTGGTGTCCTGGGTGACCTTGAAGCAGTGTCTCGGAGAGACACAGTACTTACTTTCGTTTCCCCCACTTGCCCTCCTCTCCCCCCCCCCAGGGTCCAAGACAATCTGTCACCATAATGTAGCAAAGCACAAGCAAGCATAAAGTGGCAGCTGACAGCCTGAGTACAAATCTGTATTTTGCCTCAAACGGGCAATAAACAAAGCAGAAACCTCCGACTCTGTTCAGAATGAAGACAAAACTGCATTATCCTTGAACTCCTCAGAGGGAAAAAGGGCAAACAATAAATTGTGCTGCAAGCGGTTCAATATTTCTCGTGCACTTACCCGCACAGTGTCCCACCAGATTGAGGTATTGCTCTCTCTTGCAGGGAGTTCTGCATCTTCCATTGAGGAAAGAGACGTGGGGATGACAAGCTGTGCATTCACCATCACCAGGCCCGCTACACGTCTTACAAGAGGGATGGCAGGCTGGGAGAGACAGAGAGGCAAGAAAGTTAGAAGAAGAAAAGTCAGTAACAGAAACCGATCGCTTTGATAAAAAAAGCAAAACTCTTGATTTTGTAGCGGCCAGCACATGGCTAGGTGCATGCTTGGGTATTTGTCACAAATTTATCTAAAAATAATAATAATAATAACTATGGAGATGTTTCCTTTAGTTCTGGGATCTCCAAACCTGGCAACTTTTAAGACATGTGGACTTCAACTCCCAGAATTCCTCAGACAACCATGCTAGATGGGGACTTCTGGGAGTTGAAGTCCACAAGGCTTAGAAGTTGCCAAGTTTGGAGACACCTGCCTTAGTTGGGTCTAGGACAGTGTTTCTCAACCTTGACAATTTTAAGGCATGTAGACTTCAACTCCCAGAATTCCACAGCCAGCAATGCTGGCTGTGGAATTCTGGGAGTTGAAGTCCACATGCCTTAAAATTGTCAAGGTTGAGAAACACTGGTCTAGGACAACTCACTGTGACCAATTTGCCATGGCCAACACACTATGGCAAACTCACCATGACCAACACGCCACGGCTAATTCGCCACAGAGCAACTTGCCTCAGGACAATTCAACACTGTAATCATTTTTTTTTCATTCAGGTACTTTTATTATTGGTGACCATGCTTTCGTCGAAATTATTGTAACTCTTGTGTTTCTGGATTGACTTTTATTATTGTTGGCCATGGTGCCGTCGAAATTAATTCAACTTTTGTATTTGCTGAGTTGTCCCATGACGAGTTGTCCCACGCAGTGGGGGGATTCAGCCGGTTCGTACCACTTTGGCAGAACTGGTAGTTAATTTTTTGTTGCCCAGGCCCACAATGGATTTCCAGAAGCGGCATCCACACAGAGAACCGGTTGTTCACATATTTGAATCCCACTATTGGTCCCATGGCTAATTGGTTATGACAAGTTGGCCATAGAGAATTATCCCATTCTGGCCTTAGTTGGATCATTGCTGAAAACATGGCTATGTGCATGCTGGGTTATTTGTCACAAATCTATCTAAAAACGAACAAACTATCATTGAAAATGTTTTTGCCTTGATTAGTTTCCTTCAGGCGCTCTTGTCTTGCCTTCAGGCGCTTTGGAGAATAGCTTGACTCCCTTTTCTTTGGGGCCACCCCTGAGATATTGGAACATGGCTATCATGTCCCCCCTCGTCCTTCTCTTCATTAAACTAGACATACCCAATTCCAGCAACCGATCTTTATATGTCTTAGCCTCCAGTCTCCTGATCATCCTTGTTGTTCTTCTCTGTACTCTTTCTAGAGTCTCAACATCTTTTTTATATCGTGGTTACATGTTTTCCTCAGTTGGATCATTGCTGGGAATTTTCTACAACTTAGCTCGGGATACAAACACAATCTATCAGTGCTAATTACATGACATGTTTGAAGATGGCAGAGGCACCGTCTGCGGAAAAAGGGACTGTGCATGGCTGGAAAAGCAATTTCAATACAGATTGTATTTGGGTTGTTATTGTTTTGTGCTCCCAGGGGGCCTGCAGCAGGACAAATAACAGCAGGAACAAAGCTGTCCAATGTTCATTCTTCCCGGGGGAGAAAAGAAATCAGATTCATTTTTGAAAATGAATTAGATCGTCTGGGCTAAATAGAGCCAAAATATCTCCATTCTCAGAGAGATTGCATTTGGTTTGAATCCTTCCTCAACGGTTGCGTTCCACGGTCAGACAAGGAAATGCTGACAGAAAATGTTTTCCCTCTGGCTTTCAGTATCTGAATGTTTTATTAAAAATCCACACCTGGAAATTTAAGTCTCCAAAACGAGTGGTACAAAGGAGATTGGATTTACATCTTGCTGGGATCTGGCTAGGCCAGGGGTGGGGAACCGTGGCCCTTTTATGACTTGTGGACTTCAACTCCCAGAATTCCTGAGCCAGCCACGCTGAGGGGAAAGGGAGAGGTTTCCAAGCTGAGCCATGCTGGCTCAGGAATTCTGGGAGTTCAAGTCCACAAGTCATAAAAGAGCCAAGGTTCCCCACCCCTGGCCTAGCCCTAGTAAGCTACAGACCTGGGCCCACATTACAGGTAGTTGGTCGACTTACGACCACAACTGAGCCCGAAATTTGTATTGTTAAGTGAGACAGCTGTTAACTGAATTTTGCCCCATTTTACATCCTTTCATGCCGCCATTGTCAAAGTGAATCATTGCAGTTGTTAAGTTAGTAACACGGTGGTTAAGCGAATCTGGCTTTCCCATTGAGTTCGCTTGTCAGAAGGTCGCAAAAGGGGATCACATGACCACGGGTCACTGCGACCGTCGTAAATATGAACCAGTGGCCAAGCGGCTGGATGTTGATCACGTGACTACGGGGCTGCTGCAACGGTCGTTAAGTGTGAAAAACGGTCATCAGTTTATTTATTTATTTTATTTATTTATTTATGAGACTTATATACCGCTTTAAGTGCAAGCACTCTCTAAGCGGTGTACACCAGTAAGCAATGTATATATATATTTACATTGCCCCCAACAATCTGGGTCCTCATTTTACCTACCCCGGAAGGATGGAAGGCTGAGTCAACCTTGAGCAGGTGAGATTTGAACCGCTGACCTGCTGAACACAGTCAGCTAAAGTGGCCTGCAGTACTGCACTCTAACTGCTGTGCCACCTCGGCTCTTTTGCTTTTTTTTCAGTGGCGTTGTAACTTTGAACGCTCACTAAATGAATGCTTGTAAGTCGAGGACAGCCTGTATATGAGAGCCACAATATACGAAAAATAGCTGTTAATTTTATCCCGTTTCTCAGGCTACAAACTGAACTATAACCATCTGCCGAAAACATATGGGCTCAGTTGTTCTCCACCCACAAGAAAGCGTTGTCTAAATTAACTCCTATGCGGCTAGTTAAAACGAGCTTCCATAAAAACCTTTCTCTCCGTTTATTTGCAACACTTCTTCCTCCATAAACTTTGTGGAGGCTGTATGTCCAACTCTAAATGAAAAAACAGTAACACGGGCACGGAAAAGATTTGTCTCGCCTGTCCACTTGGCAAATAGATTTTTCCTCGCCTTCTCCCCCCCCCTTCCCCCCAAATAACAACAACGGACTCCGGCAAGCATTTTCCATTAACAAAATGGGGAGAGAGAAAAAACAGAACTCGCTTATCTCTTCAGCTACACGCCAGGCATTCCTCCGTACCCACAAACTCAGCTCAAAAATGAAATGGGCAGATCAAGGTCTGCATTAGTCATAGCTTTGAAGTTTTCAAAGTTTGCTGCAAAGCAAAGTTTGGGTTCTTGCTATCACCCCTGCACCTTTCCAGCTACTGTATCTTTGCTTTTAAAGAGGATAAAACAGGTACTGGATTAACCTATGGCTCCCCGGACTCATTAGCCTCCATGGCAGGGGTCCTCAAACTTGGAAACTTTAAGACTTGTGGACTTCAACTCCCAGAATTCCTCAGCCAGCTTTGAGGGGTCCTCAACCTTGGCAACTTTAAGGCTTGTGGACTTCAACTCCCAATTCCTGGCTGAGAAATTCTGGGAGTTGGAAGTCCACAAGTCTTAAAAGTTGCCAAGGTTGAGGACCCCTGCTCAATGGCATCTATTCTGTTATCGAGCAAAATTGGAGAGGCTGACATGTGTCTACATCAGTGGTTCTCAACCTGTGGGTCGAACGACCATTTCACGGGGGTCAAACGACCATTTCACAGGGGTCGAACGACCATTTCACAGGGGTCGCCAAATAAGGCTGTCCGCCATTTTTCCCCCTTTTCTTTGGCCACGCCCCTGGCACCCGGTGATGTATAAGTGGTTGGGGGGGTCACCACAACATGGGGAACTGTATTATGGGGTCGCGGCATTAGAAAGGTTGAGAACCACTGGTCTACATGTTAGTTCCCTTGATTCCGTTCTTGGAATCACCAATTATATTCTCTTGATGGTGACAGTGATCTACCTCTTTTTCTGCACAAATGGCACTCAGTGGCAATCATAGTTATTCATATTCAGATGGACTAATAGCTGGGCATTCTACACTGCTAAACACTGTGTAACATATTTGATTTAAAAATAGGTCCAATGGACTTTAATAAGAAAAAACCTGGGAACATATGCATAGGCTTCTTAAGGCAATCTACTGTAGGCCTTGCTGGCACATTATGATCTTAAGGATATACAGGTAGCCCTTGACTTATAACCACAATTGACCCCAAAATTTCTGCACTGAACAAGTGCAGTGATTCACTTAACAGCTGCTGCAAGGAAGGTCATAAAATGGGGGGGGAGTTGAAATGTCTCACTTAACCAAAATGCTGTTACTAAGCGAGACATTTGTTAAGAGAGTTCTTCCCCATTTTACAACCTTTCTTGCCACAGCTGTTAAGTGAATCACTGCAGTTGTTAAGAAGCTAGTAACACCGTTGTTAAGCGAATCTGGTCCCCTCACTGACTTTGCTTGTCAGAAGGTCGCAAAAGGAGATCACGTGACTCCAGGACACTGCAGCCATCATGAATATGAGTCAGTTGCCAAGCGTCTGAATTTTGATCATGTGACCGTGGGGATGCTTCAATAGTCGTGTGAAAATCGTTCATAATTCACTTTTTTGTGTGCTGTTGTAACTTCGAATGGTCACTAAGTGAAATATTGTAAGTTGAGGGCTACCTATAGTTCTGTTCCAAAGGGATATAGCTTGGTAGGCCCCAAAGCACAGCCTATGCTATAGAGCAGTGGTTCTCAATCTGTGGGTCGGGACCCCATTTGGGGTTGAACGACCATTTCACGGGGGTCACTAAACAACGCAGTCCGCCATTTTTTCCCCCTTTTCCTTAGCTGTGCTACTCCCTTTTATTCTATTGGCTTTTGAAAGCCAATAGAATAGACTCTCTTGAATAGAGTCTCATTCTATTGGCTTTCAAAAGCCAATAGGAATTGTCCAGGCTGTCTCTGCCCTGCTGAGCCCGCCAAAAGTCCCATTCTGCAAACGGTGCTACACCAGTTGAGTAGTCCTCGA